AACTGGACAGAGCTATTGTACAGTCAAAGGAAAGCCTTTGGCTTGAGTTGCAGAAGGCATTGGATAACATTTGTGTTGAAGTTCTCAGGAAATATATTGACACTGTGCCAGAGAGATGTGCTGCAAAAGGTGGACATACCAAATATTAAAGTTAAAAGTGGATAAAAACAGTATGACTTACTTCATCTGATATTTGTTGTGCAGAGCAACCATCTGCATGTTTCATGAACGTTATGAAATGAAATCATGTTTTGGAGGCAAAAAGGTCAATATATTCAGATCTGTCAGGTGTTCTAACAATTTTGGCCACCACTGTATGGTTCAGATAAGATTTATTTTGCCAGATATTGCCATGACTAATTAAAATATGGTCCATAAAGGGCATAAATTAGATGCTACAGTAAATAAAGTTGCCTTATGTAAAGCTAAACCGCATCTAGCTGTAGTTAATGCAGTTCCCCTGTGGCCTCAAATCTACAGCTGACCAAAGCCTGTCTTTAAGATGCCTTGAGATCATTAAGCACCAAGAACATCTTTATTAATTGACAAGACAATCGTTTAATTAAAAACCCAGAGCCCTGTCATTGTGCCAGGCTGAGAGAACATTTGAGCAGGATGCTTGTGACTGGTGACTCAGAGGTTAACCGTGGCAGCAGCCTGGCAGCCGTATTGACTTCTAGGTAATTATACTTAAGTGGTGACTAGAGGAGGCAAATGGCAGTAACAGATTATCTGTTTTGAGGGGATGCATTCTTAGAATCAATAAGAGTCCATTTGTGGAAATAGGGCAATTTAGGGGAAAATACACCCCTGTTCTTGGTCCTAACAGAAGTCATTTGCCCCTGCTACCATACTGTAGGTCTTTATTTTTTTCCAAATCTCTCATAGTTAAATTAGGAAATAAAACAGAGGGATAAATAGAGAAAACAGTAGACATCAACAGCCTCGCTAAACAGCAGTTTTACCTTTGTAACTAAATATAAGGTTTGTTTTCCTGTGTCTAAAAATAACATATTAAAAACGAGGATGAGAAATTATGTTAACAGGACATACACTACCATTCAAAATGTTTGGGTCAGTAATTTTTTTAATCATTTAAATCATTAAACATTTTTAAAATAATGAAATCATACAATTGACCAAAATTGACAACAAAGACGTTAATAATGTTACAAAAGATTTCTAAAATATATGTGCTGTTCTTTTGAACTTTCTATTCATTGAAGAATCATAAAAAAATGTATCAAAGTTTCCACAAAAATATTACTGTTCTTGAGCACCAAATCAGCATATTAGAATAACTTCTGAAGGATCATGTGACACTGAAGACTGGAGTAATGGCTGTTGAAAATGCAGCTTTGCCATTCACAGAAATAAATTACATTTTAAAATATAACAGAACAGTTATTTCATATGGTAATAATATTTCACAATATTACAGTATTTTTAATCAAATAAATGCAACCTTGATTAGCATAAAAAAATTATTTCAAAACCACAAAAAAATAAGACAAAAACTTAAAAACGGTAGTGTATGAACATTTTAACTGCTATTGCACTGCTATTTTTTTATTTGCATGCTTTCATGTGTTAGCCTACAGACATGCTGCCCTTCCGGCTCACACAGTAATTACTGATTACATTAATTCTGGTACAAGCATCCAGTCACCAGCTGATGTCAGCCCACGGAGCCAATGCCTTTTGGGACAGAGACGCTGTTGGGGAAGTCAATGACCTCTCTAAGTGATGAGAGAGAGCAGAATGAGATTGCAGCCCGGTCCATTCGGGTCTCAGAGGGGTCATAAATAGATTTGCTTTTTAAAGAAGTACTTTTCCCTGGCTGATTTTACTGCACTTACACTTTCCTCAAGCCCTTCCTAGTCTGGTTCTTTGCTCAATTTGCACACAAACACCCTAGAAGATGAAAGAACAGAAGCAATTTCTTGTGACGGATGGGGAAGATTCCTCTCAAATGTAGCCGACACTCGGCTTGCCCGATTTACAGGGCCAAATCACTTAGACTAACTCTTTACAGTCAATCAATTGCATTTACATCTATTGCGACTCGGCCAACCAGACTCTCCCTAGGAGACAGCCATTAATTGGCTTGTGCAGCGGTATGGACCACTGATCAATCCCAATCAACCCATGTGAAACGTTCATAATAAGAGCACTAATACTTATGTAAGCCTAGCCAAACTCACACTTACAATATCCCAGAAGTGAATTATAGCAAAAGATGATACGGGTCAATTATCAGTTGGGTTGGATATATGAGTTATTGGAGATGGAAGTATATGCGTATAGATTTGAACACAGAGACTCTTAAATGGATCCCAGGCACTCCCTCTGTTTAATGTTCCCTTAATCTCACATTGCCAAACCGTAGGCTTTAATCCAATCAGCAAAGAGCTTGTTCTCATTTACCCAGAAGGCTTGAGGGGCTCAGCATACATCTGTGGTGGGGTGAGCCATGACGGGATGGTGTCTTTCACCCTGTACATGTCATTTTTCACAGCTTGAGTTTTCCCTCTTGCCCTCTTTAGAGACCTCCATTCGAAGGAACCTAGAAGGAAAGATGATGAAATAAGTCAATACCAGCTATCAATGGATTTTTCTGTTTTAAGACACTAAAGCAATCTACATTTTATGATTGCTCAGAAATAATCCACTCATAGGATTAATTCAATTAAAATCAAGCTTATTTTTAGGTACAGTAATGCTCAGTGGAACCAAATGCGCTCTGAGATTTAATAACCCATTGACACGTCGTTTTCAACTAGCTTGTACTCTTGACAATAAGAGTACATGCTAATAAGGAAATATGTTCATTGGGTCAAAGTTCATAGGTCAGGTCATCCTAAGGTGGCACAAATGAACAGTACAAGTGTTCTGTACTGCTAGTCAGATTTCCAATAGAGTTCCAACTCAGCAGCATCTTAAAAATGTGTCAGCATCTCAGGCTGGGGTCTCAGAGTGGTAAAAGTGTCACAAAAAACATGAATACATTTAAAGCCAATCTCTTAAAAAGGGTCGCAGCATCTGTTGACACAAAGCAATAACATTAGATTCCTTTGGATCCACCTCTTTTCAAGCACAGTTCAATCCTTTAATGTGAACCATGCGTGCCCTAAACCTGATGCCGCTGATTACTTCTGGGCAATTAAGCGCACTGATAGAATGAACTCAGTGTGACTTGGATGCTTGATCTGAAAAGAAGGCAAGACAGAGAGGGGGAGAAACAGTGAGCAGCAGATGATGAGAGCGGAGAGTTATGTGATGTTCTGGCAGAGCTTGCAGACTGGGCCCATTGTCCGGGCTTGCAAAATCAGCACTACCCCATTCCTCTGACCCAGTTAAGACGTTCTTTCTGCAAGCTGGCCGGCAGTGCACTCAGCTTCCTTGTTTTTCGTGATTGCCTGACATTTCTTTTCTCTTCTATTCTGCTGGTTCTTCCTGCCAGATCTCCTTAATACCGCCGCTGACAAGGGTCCTAGTAATAACGCAGCTGCCTTTTTATTGATAATGTGTCACAGAATATCTCGGTGTCGTTATCGAACACTCAAGGAGCAGAATGGCATTTTCAGTGGGAAATAAGTAATCGATAGGGAACAGCAAATTAAGTAATAGCATTTTTGCGTTGATGCATATTACAGCTCAGTTAACAGCCTTCGGATCGGCAAGGCTCCGTGCTGCTGGATGAACAGATCAATCCTCGCACAAAGCTGACGCCTCGCTTTGACAACATAATTAGTTATCATACAGAGAAACGTGTTTGAGGACTATATGAAAACCTCCCTCGGATATTCAGCTCATGGATCAGAACCACGAAGAGGCGGTCAGGGAAACCATGTGATCCTCTATGAGGAAAACAACTTTTTAAAAGTAAAGAGAGATAAATAACTGAGATGAAGGGTGTCAGCTGAGAAGAGATGATTTTGTTAATGCAGGTCTGACAGGAAACAGGATACATCTGTTTATGTATTCACATAATTTTGCTGTCAATCTTAATTCACTTCGTTTTGTATCTAAAACGGTAATTGTATTATTTTATGGTACTTTAGATTTCAATGAACTGGAATCCTCGATTCTGATTGGTCAATTGAAGCATTCTGTGGTCAAATATTTTTGTATTACTTCAAAACTGTTCTCTTTTGAAAACTTGAAAAATTTCTCTTTTCACATTATAAAAATTTCAAATCAGTATTTATGTCTTTATTTATAGCAGTGCAAAAAGCAGGATAAAGTAGCCTAAGATGGTTATTATTGCAAAATAAACCCCAAAAGGGTCATTAAGGCTCAATGGAAAGAACATCTAGTGACCGGCTGAATTAGCATTTTCCTTTACATGAAATGTAATTACCTTCACTTGTATAAATGTGATATTGTTATGAAAGTTGTTGACCATCCAGACCTACATTAACCTTACATCAGGATCAGTTGAGACAACTGAGGTCCCAGGGTACCTAGAAGACTTTTAGTAACATTTGTTGAAACTATAAACAGAAATACAATTAAAATGATTTAAAAAGAAAAATGTCACTTGTCTAAAATGTCTAAAAGGTTGCCTATACCATGGGTCATACATGAAACTGACAAATCCATCTGTTTATACTGCAGCATGATTGTATTATAGCCTACTGACAACTTTGACATATACAATATCCGGGTCTGTATATCTTCAATTTTGTTTCAACCCTACGAACGGAGACATAATAATTCGGCTGCGTCTTTTTGGTTCTCTAAATTGGATGCATATTATTCAAGAGTGTTTTCACCTCCACCATTGACCCAGTCACGCTTAAATCATTTTATACACTAAAACTGTGTGTTTGTGACCTGCCCCATCATCCACCTTATAACTGGAGAACGCGTGTCGACCCTGAGACTCGTTTAATTTAATAAAGGAGGTGATGAACATCTGCGCCCTGTTCGATTACCTGCAGTACAGCCCAGCCAGCCACGCGCTCGCGAGTGGAGGCGCGTGTCTCTCTCTCTCTCTCTCTCCAGAATTCAGAGGCGCTTTTCAGTCTTTCAGAGTGTCAGACTAGCTCGGTGGAAATCATGTCTTTGAACACTATGAAGAAGAGACTCTTCCAATAAACGTTAAAAAGGCACCTGACTGGAACAAGTCTGTTTGAAGTTCACTCCATTATCTACTCAAGAGAAACACGCGAGGATGCGCGCGGCAGTCGGAATCCTTTGTGCTTTGACGTTCCTTGTCTCGTGCAGCCATGGCGCGAGAGTTGTGAGTGGTAAGTTTTAGTTGATTTAGTATGAAGCTATTTTCATTCATATAGTTCATTCATTCATATTCTTTCAGAATTTAAACCAGTGAGGATAAATGTATCAAAATATACAGTTATTTGTGGTAAAATTGTGCTCGAGTGATAGCTATTGGTCAAGTTTAAAGGGTAGTTCAGACAAAAATATTATTTAATAATCCTCAGATTGTCTCAAACCTGTATGACTTTGTTAGACAGAAAGGAGAAGTTCAGCAGAATTACATCATCAGTCACCATTCACTTTCACTAGAGAAAATCTATGTAAAGATGGTGACCAAAACTTATTATTATATATTATGTTACTCCATAACTTAACTTTTGTGTTCCATAGAACATGGATCAGGATGAGTAAATGATCACATTTTCATTTTGGATGAACTGTCCCTTTAAGTATTATTTTAAACCCACTGTCACACCAATAGTCTGTATTAGAAATATTAGTGTTTTGTTTTTTTCAGTTATATTTACTTTCAGGAATTTTGATCAAATCTATGCATTTTTTCATCTGTATAATTTCTCAAACTGATTTTCTGTGCGGCAGCTTCAAAATTCCATAATTTTTCATAATGCTTTTGAGTGCTCATTCTTATTAACCTCTACTACTCTATTTTATAATTAAAGTATCTCTCAAAAACATTATCATTCTTTTATAAAATCTTACAGATCAGCTCATAGCTTTCTCTTCCCCAAAGATGATTTGTCTTGAAGATCATTCTAGAAGCTTGTCTCCAGCCTGTCTTAATAAAGCGATGGGATGAAAAAAGAAAATGATTATGAAAGAAAAATGAGAGAGATTGTTAGAGATAAAAATAGGTTTGTCATACACGTGTAAACTGAAAGGATGGACAATAGGGAATTGAAATTGAGCAGTTCTTTGAGATGAGATCGGGGTTTAATAAAAGGTGACAAGAAAGTGGCCATTTTGAAGAACGGAACTGCCAGAACATTCCATGCTGGAAGGAGTAAAACTGTGCTACACAGACAGGAATTGAGGAAGAAAGCTAAGGAAATTGGTAGAGAAAATGCTGAGTCCAGTTTTCCCCCAGTTAAACCCGGCCCATTACTGGGCTCAGATTGATGATATAGCAGATCTGGACCAAGCAATTATTTAAAGTACCTCCCGGGCAGAGAGCTAATGTTATTATTAGACTTTTAACAGTCTGTATTAATCACAGTTCTCTTTGCTGGGCCTATCAGTGTATCTTAAGTGTTCTTTATAATAGAAGTGCTTTGTTTATGATTTAATAATAATTCCATGCATTTTCTTCTTAGCTTTTAACTGAACCTTTAACTGAGCATTCTTTAAACATCCAAATCTCTCTCTCTCTCTCTCTCTCTATCTATCTATCTTTACTGTACTCTACTGGAGCAAATGTTATGCAGAAGAAGAAATCGCTAAAAAATACTGTATTAATTTTATGTCTTCAGGTCAGACAGTGTGTCAGGGCAGTCCCGAGCAGCCGTGCTATAAGATCGCTTACTTCAGGGACGTGTCGAGTCGTGTTGCATTCTGGGAGGCCCAGCATGCGTGTGACATGGATGGCGGTTCATTGCTGAGCATCGAGAACACTGCAGAGCAGAAGCACATTGAACATCTTCTGCAGGAACTCAGTGTCTCCACTTCCACCGGTGCTTCCAGCGGGTCGGGCGTCACAGACGGAGACTTCTGGATCGGGCTGACACGGGTGGAGGACGAGACCGCACAGGAGCCTGGCAGCTTCGCCTCGTGTCCTAACCTGTACAGGTGGACAGATGGAAGTGTCTCACAGTTTAGGTGAGATGTGACTGATCTGGGGCCTTTTCAAAGCAGAGATTTACCTCAGGTAAACAGTCATTAAAATTAGCACTTCTGTTTTACAGAAACTGGTATGCTGATGAACCATCCTGTGGAGGAGAAGCTTGCGTGGTCATGTATCACCAGCCTACAGCTCTCGCTGGGCCTGGTGGGCCGTATCTTTACCAGTGGAATGATGATAGGTGCAATATGAAGCACAATTTCATCTGCAAGTATGAACCAGGTTGGTGATTTGCATTGTGAACTTTTTTTAATTACTGTCAAAAGTGACCTAATTAACCTGAATTCACCCTATTAAATTGGTTTAGCTTACAATGTCTGTTTTATTGTTCTGAGCAGAAAGTTACCTGGTAAAAGTGCAGAGCGACACACCTGGAGGGCCCAATGTTGGTAAGCAGCCAGGTGTAAAATCTGTCATCATTTGACTTTAAGTGTTACAGATGTGTTGACACTAATCTGCTAATGTGCCCTCCAGATCTTTCCTCAGAAGAACAAGAGGAGAGGAGAACACCTCCCGTCGATCAGGATGAGAACCCTCTACTTATAATGCCAGGGCCCTCAAGTAACATTAGATTTTAAATGATTTAAATGAATATTCAGTAAAGTTCATAACTGAATAAAGTTCAGTTAAGCTCAGCATTTGTGGTATAATGTGGTATTGATTACCACAAACATTTTTTATTTGTTCGTTCTCTCCTTTAAAAAAAAGAAAAGAAAAGCAGTGATCTAGGCTAGTATAAAATGGAGATGAATGAGCCCAATCTTTACATTTTAAAATACTTTTATCAATAGAAGACTTAAACTATATGTATGTTAGAGGTTAGTTTTAGTGTGACAAAAATGCATTTCTGTGTAAAGTTACATCATTTCCATGGCAGCAGAATGCCATAAACACTAAACCCTAAATCAACTATAAAAATAATTTATTAAAAAGCTTCATTGACCACAAGCTTCAATTATAACACAAGTTTTAACAGAATATTTATTTATAGTCCCATTCAAAAGTTTGGGGTCAGAAAGACTTTAAAAATATAAATAATTAAATACAAAATACTTTTTTTATTCAGCAAGGACACATTCAATTGATCAAAAGTGACATTTCTAATGTTACAAAAGATTTCGATTTCAAATAATTGCTGTTTTTGGACTTTATAATAATCAAAGAATCAAAAATAATAAGAAATATTATTTGTTCTCCAAATTAGCATCATTGTAATTTTAATATATATAATGTGACAAGGAGACGACTGGAGTAATGGCTGCTGAAAATTCACTTATGCCATGACAGGAATAAATTACAATTTAAACAATAATAAAATAGAAAAAAGTTTTTTTGATCAAATAAAGACTACCATGGTTAGCATAAGAGACTTCTTTCAAATTCTAAAACAATTACAGATTCTTAACTTTTGAACAGTAACTTTAATGGTAACTTTTTGTAAGTGCTTTTATGAAAGTTTAAGCTTCACATTTCTGCTTTTAAATCTTCTAAAAATTGGCCCCATTCACTTCTATTGCCTCACTGTAACCCTTGATTTTTTTGTATTTTTCAGAAAAAAAGGTGAGTGAAAATTATATTTTTGCAGTAGTCAACATTAAACCACAAATGCTGTCTATCGAGTTTCACTCATATTGAACCCAGAATTCAACTCAAAATAAATGACTGTATGAAAATGGAAGTCAAAGTGTGTTTTTTTTTCTTTCCCAGGTATGCTGCTAATCTACGTGATTATCCCTACCATCCCTCTCCTCTTGCTGATCCTGGTGGCTTCAGGAACGTGCTGTTTCCAGATGTTGAGCAAGAGGTGAGCCATTAAGATCAAATCACTGTAAACGCTGTCAGACTAATGCTAATGCGCTGTCCTATTATGCACAGTAGCATCCAAATACTGCGACACATCAGGAAGTCAGTGTCTCACTAACAGCCTTTGCATCTTGATTAATCAAGTTTTCAGCTCACTAGCCGAGATCTGACACCATCCTCCGTTTTTCTCTCTAACCCAGAGGTTTTACCGTGATTAATTAGATTCAGCTGTTTATAACTGCGCCTGGCAAAACAGCTCAGCCCAAACTAATCACCATCAACACTGTTATTATAGTGCACATTTGGCATATTTAAAGGGGGGAGGTGTTTGCCTGACACATTACGTCACACTGCATATGAGACAGAGTCCAACTCGACTTCTATTGCCATCAATATCCCGATCTGCAGGGAACTGCTGAAGCAAGCCGTTCCCGTCCTCCGCTCCCGCCCCTCAACATAGAGCATGAAACACAGTTCATCTCCCTTTAACCCTCAGCCCGTGCTTGACAGAACATTATATAGTAGCTTATTTGTGTAATTTATTATGTTTACACGGCTGACGCTCCCACAGAGTGATGTCTTTTTAACATATTTCCGATCACTGTGGCAGACGAGGGGATCCTCAGACAATCCATTTAATCACTGGCAATGACTGAGTGCGCTCTATACGATAAAAGGCTTCCTGGAGCGAGTTCAAAGCTTTTGGATGAACGTCTTAACTCCTTAACAGATGATGCTTCTCTGTTTTGCGATGTTTGCACTTACACTTGTTCTCGTGATTAAATACCATCATAAGACTTGGAGGAGTCACATAACAGCTGCTTTGCTTCGTGTTTCTTATAGTGTGTACCTTTAAATGTCAGGTCTTCCATGCATTGTGCTATTAAACTTTAGAGACATAGAGATTCACGTGGGGAAATCGGCCTGATTCACAATGCACAGACAAACAATACATATGTCAGATATTAACAGATTACAATATAACAGTATATATTAACACATATACACAGAAGAATAAGTGGCCAGAATTGTACATTTTGGGGTACAACAGCTTGTCCCTGGAGCAGTACCCTTAAAAGGACATACTTGTACCTTTTTTTTTTTTTTTACCCCTAATAGGTACATATTCGTACCTTAAGGGTACGTATTACTACTCTAAGGTACTAATATGTACCTATTAGGGGTAAAAAAAAAAAAAAAGGTACAAGTATGTCCTTTTAAGGGTACTGCTCCAGGGACAAGCTGTTGTACCCCAAAAGGTACAATTTTAAACCTCTTTTTTTCTGTGTGTACCCATAGAGGGTGCATGTTAGGTTGAAAAAAATGAAAATTTTGTCATCATCAACTCATCCTCTTATCATTCCAAAACTGTATGAATTTCTTTTTATTAATTAAATAAAGTAATGAATAATTGAATTTTATTTAATACATTTTTTTTTTAAACAGTAAACCACGGACCAAAACGAGCGTTAACCAATCAACTCTCTGGATCTCCAAGACGCCAAAGATAGACAGTGGCATGGAGGTTTAAAGAATAATCTCCACGATTCAAACAGCTCCATTTTTCTGGCTTTGTCATCTATGTTGCTTGATCAGCAACATTCTCGTCTGGTGGTTAGTTTAGTGTATGATTTAATAATACTAGCTAAAAGTTACATATATATCGCATTTCTGTACAAATGTTGTGCTCTCACAAATTTCTTAAGTCTACAAGCTTCTTGCTCATTCCCATGACCTTCTTCTCCATTTCATTTTTCTTGTCAGAGAGTCTGGCCTGAAGGTACTGAGGGAGGGGGAATACTAACTGCCACCAAACACAGTGAGCAATTAAATTACTGTAATTAAAGCAAGTACAAGTGGGAACCACAAAAAAAGAGGAATTAAGAGTTCCCTGTGACAGCGAATAGGGATACACAAACTGAAGCTAGTGAAACAGTAAAGAAATTAATCACTAAAAGAGCATAAAAAGACAGCCTCATAGGTTTTTGGAGAATTAGAGTAATGTCTCTCATTCAAGAAATGAGAGGCCTATTTAATTCAAAAAATGTATCATGCATTGCCAATGATGGCACAATATCATATATAGTTATGTGCATACAGTTAATAATTTGGTAGCAAAAGATTTATTTTGAAACATTTGCAATCATTCTTTAAATGACCAGTACCATTGGCGTATATAGTGACTGTTCTGCTCTGCAGCTTATGAGGATGTTGTCATAAAGAAAAAAGATAAATTCATAAACGTGTACATATTTTTTGTATGATGTGACTGAAAAGCTGCCACTGTTATATATGCAGTTCTTTGCATGTGAATATTTTATCACCCCCTTTTACAATACTGCATACAGAAAATATCAATGCTAAAAAGTATTGAACTGGTTTGCATCAGTGATATTGTATCAGATACCGGAATTAGTCAGTTAGACGTCTGGTTGTACAGGAAGATGTGTTTCTGTGAGCGTGAGTAATATTGTGTGTTTGAATTTAAAATGTACTGTTAATACTTTTTTATATTTTTGAGACAGGAATTGGCCGTGTACAAATGGATTAAAAATATTTAATTGCTTCAGTTTGTTTTTATGGCTCTAAAATCATGCCACATAAATGCTTAATCACAAACAAAAACTCAAAGTGTTTTGAGTTACTGGATTTATTTGAAATCGGTTTTGTGATTCATCACAGACCAAAAAAATCGGTATATAGGTTCTTATCGATAAGCAACTCTTAATGTGATTAGCAGATATTGAATATTAATAGCGTTATCTTGTATTCACATACAAAGAATTCACATCCTTATCTCTGCTCCTCAAACACTTTTGCAAGTTTCTTTCACAAGAAAAAATACCTTACACACAGATCAAAGCTCATTTCTACAGATTACACCACTTGTAATTGTTTATGAGAAACACGGTAGTGGCCATGAATTAAAACAGAAAGCTGTCAGGGGGTCCAGCTGGTAGGCAGAGTTAGAGCCAGACATAAGACAAATGAACTGGACCGCATTAACACCAAAAAGATGTGGTACTTTGTACAAAATTTACCCTGGTCTGCAATTAGTGACAGCATAGACTTTAAAGCACACTGCTAATTACGGAGCCAATTAAACTAATCAGTCCTCTGCTTCGACAGGAGAACTCGCGTCACACACTCAGGATCTGGTAATTATAGATATGACTGTAATCACTACTCTGGAGGCACAGGGTAGAATTAAAGAAACAAACCCTTTCCCATCTGGAGAGGGGGGTGATTTTAGCCTATTAGAGCTACAACACAAGCGTCTCATTCTCCACCCGAACAAGATCCAAACAGATCTTCACATGGCTTTATCAGAACTGGAATACGGTTAGTTTATGATGGAAATGGGGAGGTTCACCCTCATCCCGTCCTGCAAGCTAGAAATCAGCTGTCTTCTAAATGTCAAAGACATTAAAAACGAATCAATTGGGTTATGGCAATGATAATTAGTGTTTGTAACTGCACTCAGGTGGAGTTTTAAATCTTTGTGATGATGGATGGACTTCATTAATTCATTTAATGTTAAAGAGTGTAAAAATGCTATGGTAAAAAAAACAACAACTGCTTAATAAACTGTGGAAATACTTATTAATTATAATTTTACAGTAAAATGTGAAAAGCAAGTCATCTTAGTTTATGGTGAAAAACCATTCTTAGATTTTTCTGTTTAGTTATGTACATTATGGGTTTATGTTACATCTTACGTTGCTAAATTAATATTAATATTGCTTTTTGGTGTTGTGTTACCATAACGGTGTTATGTATTTGTGTGCATGTCACTTGCATTGCTAATTATATTCTCAGCATAATACTTTGAGTGAAAAGTGAATACATGAACAATATTTAGTACACTGTAAAAATGATTTTTCATTGTAAATAAAACAGATTGTTGCAGTACCTTTTACAAGAAAATAGCCTACTATTTTAGTCTTTTTACTTCAAAATTTCACATTTAACTCAATGTGTTATTTTGTTTCATTGTAATTAATTGTGCAACTTACTAGCAATTTTTGAGAGAAAATTGTTTCAACAAATTTACAGTTTTTGGAAGTGAAAAACAACATATCACCTTAGTTTACAGTGAAAAACCATAAGATGTTTATAATTCCTTAGAGTTTCTACAAGGCTTTCTCAATTACCACCTGTTTTTCTTTTAGGAGTTTTATAAAGGTACAAAATTTGTAAGGTATATAAATATTATATAAATTAATGATATGGGCTATATGTTTTTTTAACCGTAAATTTAGCCTCAGTTCAATCTGTAAAACTCCAAATTCTACCGAATTTTTATGGTAATGTTATTACCATATAATGGTATTTTTTTGATAATGAATTTCACAGATGTATTTATTTATTTATACAGTGATATGGATGTGTCCGCAGTTCATATAGTTTGAATTAATTCACAAGAAATTGTATATAAGACACATAATGAGCATAGAAGTTGAGGGAGATGCGTCCAATATTCAGAGTACTGTTCAATCAATTTGGGTTTTCAAATTGCCAGATTATTCCATTTGTATTAAAAGCAATTTAAATCAAAGCCCACCGCTACTATCTAGTAGTATCAAACAAACTATCCGTCACAATTTGCTGCTGTGTAAGCTTTAGCCAAATGTGAGATTGAAAAGCACTGCAAAGCACAAATGATTAACAATTTGTGAAGATGTTTTAATACACATCTCAAGATCAAGGTTACAAATGTTAATAATGACAATGTCTTTTAGTTTTAAAAGTCACATCAACCAAGAGTTTAAATGCATTAGCACATAATCTGAGGGCATTATAGATAATTAAATCTCCTGCAGGCAATCAAGGCCTTATTAGCGCTCCTCACAACCTTTCACCCAGCGTGTCATCTTACGCCCATTACAGTAACTATCCCAGGTGTCCCTGCAGACACAAAGATCAGCATTACATTATGTCAAAAACACATGCACAACAGATCAATAAACAAGATATAATGCAGTGATAGACACAGCTTGAGGCCAAATTTCTAAAGGGACAAGCAACCTTTGTTAAAGGGGTCATATGATGCGATTTCAATTTTTCCTTTCTCTTTGGAGTGTAACAAGCTCTTAGTGTATAAAGAAGATCTGTAAAGTTGCAAAGACTAAAGTCTCAAATCCAAAGAGATATTCTTTATAAAAGTTCAGTCAGCCACACCTACCGAAAACAGCTCGTTCTAACACGCCCCCACATATCTACCTCACTATGTGGGAAGATTTGCATAATGCTGCCCAAATGTTCACGCAAAGAAAGAAGGCGTAACTTTTATTCTCACTGTAGTATTGTTGACGCTGCAGCCATGTCGTGAAGACATGTGTACTTCGTTGTGAAAGCGAAACTACTTTGTTTGGTCTTCCAAAAGAGGACGATATCCACTTCGTCATGCCTAGAGCTGATCTGTGCTGGTCGCTGAGGGAATACTTCAACTTTCACCGTGGACGAAGCGGAGTCCAGCCCGGGGTCCGTCACATGTGGTTGCCGCTCATTCGTCGCATCCGCCGGGAGCGCCGTTCTCGACTCTGCCGCCTCAGCTCACTTTATCCCAGCCTCAGCGCACGCTAAGCTGGGGCTTCGGCTCACGCTAGGCCGCTGTGTTGTTCGTTGTGAAAGCGAAACTACTTTGTTTGATCTTCCAAAAGAAGACATGACTACAAATCAGTGGTTAAGTTGTATTTACCACACTGTTCCAAAACAGTTTAACCCAAATATCCAGATGTGCGCAGCACATTTTATGGAGGACCGTTTACTGATCCTGGGAGAGTAACGTTAGACTACAAGCCGGCTGTTCTGACTCACGTAAGTACCTTTTCATTTAAAGGATTTGCCACTGATGATTCAAACACGAGTTTTGAGCAGTGTAGAGTAGCACTTGTTGTTTGTCATTTCTCCGATCACAAATGCAGACAGAGTTTTATATTTACGCGGCGCAATGCAACGCAACGCGTAAAAAGACAGTATAAGTCATTATAATCAGTAATTATGTCCCCACTGGATGCAACAAATGCCTCGTTTGTAATGGGTTTTAATGTTTTTGTCTCGTCGCTCCGGCCTGACAGGGCATCAACAGTATGTGAGGGGCGTAACATTTCCGTCTCACGCTTGAGGTATTCAGCCAATCACAACACACTGGATAGCTGGCCAATCACAGCACACCTCGCTTTTTCAGACCAATGAGCTTAGTAAAAATCGACACATTTCAAGAAGGCGGGGCATAGAGGAGAAACAATAATGTACAGAATGTGGAAAATAATGTGTTTTTTAACTTTAAACCGCATAAACATTTCATTACACCAAATAATGTTCTTTTTAGCAGCATCATATGACCCCTTTTTAATGTGAAAAATAAGCTTTGTCAGTTGTGCCCAAGGATATATGCAATGAATACTTGCCATGATTTGAGTCCATTGGTTTTCACAATGAGCTTTGCACATTCAACTGAAGCTTTCAGGTCATCCTGAAGCAAATCTATCAGATGGGAAACATGTATAAACAAAAATGTAATATCAAAGTTTAATTAAAAGCACAGATACAGAGGAGTCAAAAAATCCAATTTACTTTTTTCCTGATTTTTTTTTACACACATTTTTCTCAGTATAAACTATATTCTCAGCATAACACTTGTGAAAGTTACAATATGTAAATGATATTTAGTATACTATAAAAAAATAAAAAAAAAAGATTTTTCAAAGATTACCAACAAAGTTTTTTACAAGAAAAAACTACTTCAGTCTTTCTACTTAAAAATGTTCCTTTTAATTATTAGTGAAATTTGCTAGCAATTTCTGAGTGAAAACTGTTTATACACCAATTGTTTTGAGAGAATAACATCTGAAACAACTATTTATACAATACAATTTATTGTTATTTAATTTTTTTTAATTCTAAAACATATGTACATTTATAAATAACATTTTGAATCAGATTTTTCAGACCCCCACTGTATGTTTTACAAAATTACATGCAGCAACATCCAAATAATCTTTGTCCATTTTTAACTACTAGTCCACTTTAATACAAGTAGTGTTCGATATGGTCACATGAAATCTATTTAAAGGTAATAAAGTACCTGAACAGGGAATTTTGCACTGGTTCTGTCCTCCTGGAGTGCCATCATTGCACCATTTGAAACTGTTTATTTGGAAGACACCATAGTCTTTCCCGGTATCAGCTGAACGCACTCTTTCGGTCTTAAACCTGCTTTCCCAGTAGGCCGTGCACACATCTGTTGAAATTAAGTTCAAAACCAATGGGAATCAAATATATTATGTTCAGTTTTATAACACATTGTATGTTTACTGAAGATTTAGTTAATACAATCAGATATGCCAAACACTGCAAGTCAGTACTGAAAATCCAAAAAACAAAGTACCCACAGTTGCCAAGCGAGAATCCCTCGAATCCATCAAGTCCCTCTTGCGTGAAGATACGGACAACATCACAGCGACCCAGCGTGCGGCTCTCACACGAGCACAGCCACATCAGACACAAAACCGCAATCGCCACCCTCATATCTGCACTGCTGCTCAGAAAATCAGTCAATATCTGCTATTTGAAGAGGAGTTCAGATGGAGGGTGGAAGCTGTGGAGTGGGATTATTTATAAATCAAATGAAAGGTTTGTGTCGCAACCAATTTTTCACAAGTGCATGTAGTTTGCAGTTGCTTCAGATATGGCTGCTGAGGCAATAACTGACTTTGGGCGGTTCTATTTTTACTTCTAGAACCAAAAACATATTTTTAATGTGCAGAGAAACTCTGGAAAAGACTTCGATCAAACAAAATGGAACATAAGACTATGCAATATTGGGGAAACCCAGTCATGTAGCTATAATGAGAGCAACATACATATATATATATATATATATATATATATATATATATATATATATATAAAACAAAAATCAAATATATTTTGCTTTTATATTTTTTTTATTCAGAAATTTCCATACAAGTTGTAATATGCCTTCAAAAACAAATATAACAACAAAATGAAAACTAAGTGTTTTTATCTGTCATCCAAACATCCTGAAATGACTTGAGGAAAGATGTTGAGACAGTTACAATGTGGAAAACTGTTGTGAAAAAAACGGCTCCTTCATGTAACCTAATGTGCAATTAACTGAAAATAACAGCAAAGGAAATGGAGATGAGAATGTGTCAACAAACAGCTCAAACGGCCGCTGTGCATAACCACAAACAGCCCTTAGGAAGACCTGCTGCTTGCTTGCTTATTATTTATCATATTGCAGGTGTACTTTCCATATGCATATTCTACTTCTTGTAAAACTCTGGCAAAAGAGTATCAAAAGTGTCAAAAATATCAAACTCTGATCTGACATCAGCTGAAAGAAAAGTGATTCAGTCAAAACAGACAGCCCTGTTTAAACAGCACAGATATATAAGGTATCTTGTAAACATTGTAAACTGGCATGTTTGTGTGCTTATGAATGACATTAAACAATTTTTTATTATTACTTATTATAACCAAGTGGCAAACATATTATTGTAATAAATTAATTATTTTTTGTACTATATTATAAATTACATTATCAAATTAAATCAATTATTAATCAATTATAAAATGGAAAATACATTTAAAATAACCCCCACAATTTGCTAGAATATTTAAAAATCTGTTTGTGTTCCATTTATCACTTTTTTATTTAATCATTTATTCAGTATAATCGGTCCAAAACCTTCATTAATTAATGTGTGAATAAACTGTGCTTTAGAGAACCTAATGTATGATGTAAAATTAATATCTTAAATATTTGGTCAACAAGAAATGAGTAAATTATAACAGAATAATAATTGGATGTAAGAGCAGGTCCCGTCTCATTGACTGAACAGCGGCCCCTGCTGGAGGAGAGTGGAAGGGGAGTCAAAGTTCACAGCTTGTCCCTTATTCAAAACCAGCACCCTGAAGGAGTAACAAAAGGTCATAAATACCTTACTGGAATACTTGACATTTAATGACAGGATGAGTCACTTGTTATATAAAGGATTGTTGCTCCTGACCTGTCAGTGTGCATGACAGTGAGCGGGTTCTGAGTGAGCCACAGTACAGTGCAGTGTTTAAACTCTGTGTGGATCAACTGTCGGACCAGCTCCTCTGTTTCTAGGTCCACACGAGGAAGGGCCTCTTCCACAAGCAGGATTCTGACCCTTGCAAGCAGTGCTCTGGCCAAACAGAGCAGCCTCCTCTGGCCAAAGCTTTCACAACACAAAAACAGAAATATTTAACCCATAACAACCACTTGTTTGTTGTGCCAGTACATAAAGGTTGCCATAGAGAAAACTATATTGTTTCATGAAGTAATAAAACAGAGCCACGGTTCAGATCTGGACTCATGATTGATTCCAGCCGGAACGTGAATCATTTCACGCTGCAGTTCGTTCTACATGCAAAATAAGCAGCCTTTATAACCAATTATGGGAAACAATGAATCGGCTCAATTATTTATGTTTGTCTAATCTGCAAAATTCACTTAATAGAACTTTTTTATACAATTTTTAATAATCAAATGAGAAACTTGTAATCTGTGTGATTCTGTTTTTTGAATTTATTATATGTTTTATTGATTTTTATTTGTGTGAAAATTATAAATAAAATATTTTATATTTAACAGATTATTTAAATTTTTTTTCAGTTGAATAGATTTTTATTTACTTGTTTATTAATTGACCAGGACTTGACCCAGATTGGTCACAATTTTTAACACAAAATAAGCAGCCTTAAAATCAAATAGTGGGAAACGATGAATCGGCTCAATTACATTGGTTTGCCCAGTCTGCAAATTTCACTTAATTGAACTTGATTTATTTTATAATCAAGTAAGAAACCTGTAATTTTTTTTTTCAGTTATTTGTGATCCTGTATTTTGAATGTATTAATTAAATGTTTTATTTATATATAAAAAGAAATATGCAATATATATATATATTTTTTTTAAACTTTATGTATTTTATATACTAATCGACCAGGGCACGACCCAGGCCGGACCCGACTTTATATTTTATATTGTATCGACTTTATATTTGACAAAGCTCCTGTTTTGTATAATTTGTTTGGCTATTGGGGCTTTATTATTTCTTACTTTTACAAAATATTATGGTACCCAACTGGATTTATAATGCATATTTTTGAAATTTTATATAAAAATTAATGTAATGATTAAGTAAATTTGAAAAAATAAAAAAAAATTTACAGAGTTGAATATCTCTGCAATAGGCTACTATATTTTCTATATCAGCCATTTAAATAACTGTACAAAGATCAACTATATTCTGGTATATAAACATGTAAAATTGGCCCGAGGAATCCAAAGATTGGATTCTCACACACCTGAAAGCGAGGGAGGTCCTCTGTACAGGGTGCAGCAGCTGAGCAGGCAATAGTCGAACACGCTCCTTCAGATGGCAGAGCTCCAGAGCCAACCACACCTGTGCGTCAGTATGCTGAGCGAACGGGTCCAGGTTAGCCCTCAGGGGACCAGAGAACAGTACGGGAACCTGTAACACACGGGACACCATAACTCATTAGTGACTTCAATAACTGAATAATGCTTGTTACTGGCGGAGCCTGGGTAAAGCTAGTTTTGCACTACACACAATATTGGAGAGCATTCCTTCTACCACACCCAGTGAAATAGTTCTGTTACCTGTCAACACTCCTTCGCCTCCAGTCTTTGATCGGTTTTGCTGTGGCTGGATTGAGCTAGATCGACATCATTCTCTTATATGCAACTATAAAATAGTTTGACTAACCTGAGAAATGATTTGCAGACGGCTACGAAGGTCACGTAGACCCATGCGGGCGATGTTTATATCGTCAATCAGCACAGCGCCGCTCCTGGCCTCCACAGACCGGAACAGACTGCTAACCAAACCATCGGTGTCGGTCTTCCCCCTGCTTACGAGCCCAATCTATACACATACAAACAAACAAAAACCACCCTGAGGTTTAAATACGGATATATTCAGCGGGAAAATAAAATAAATACATAAGTATAGTCAGTGAATTTTAAATAAATTATTTAAAATGAATATATTACAGTGGGGAAAAAAAGTATTTAGTCAGCCACCAATTGTGCAAGTTAATGTAACCCTAATAACAATGAAAGTAAAATATTTGTAAAATTATTATTATTAATAATAATAATAATAAATTAACAACAAATATAAATGAATGATTAATATTTATTTATTTTTACATTTGAGATTAACATTAATAAATAATAATTAAAAATAAATAAAATACATATTGATATTGATTATTATCAGTATAAAAATCGTAGGCTTATAAATAAAATTAATTAAATATTGATATTAATTAGTAATTAATTTACTTATTAGGCTTATAAATAAATAAATACATTTAATATTAATATAAAGAGATTCATTAATTTATTTATTATCAGTATGGAAGTCTTAGGCTTATAAATAAATACACAAATAAAATTACTAATTAATTAATTATTTTCAGTATGTAAATCGTTGGCAAGAAAACAAACAAACAAATATTCAAAGTACCTTTTCCTCTTTTAGAATGGTGAGATTAATTCCTCTAAGTGCTGGTGTGCCATTAGAGGAGGCTTCAGACTCATAGTTCCTGAACTTCACCTCTCCATGCTGGGGCCAGTCATTGGGTGGTCTGTAGGATTTTTCCCATGCTGCCTAAGGTAAAATGGGGCAGTTGGCTCAGTCCACTGGCAAGCCCAAAGAGAAGTATTTACTTGTTAAGTAAGTATTATGTTACCCTGTACCTCCTTCTCCACTTTGGCAAATTCACAAAGGTTTTGCATGCTCAGCATGTCTATGCTGATATCAGAGGCAGCATGAGGGTATCGGTGAACAGCTTTTTTGATCTGTAACACATTTTTTTTTTGGAATTAATCAAACAAAATTTAGGTTAGGTATCAGAACAGATGAACTTACACTGAAGGCACAGATCAATGCCAGAACCACAAGCCCTGCATCCGGTTCAGTCTCCAGCAGAATCAGACTGACCAGGAACAGCACAATCCCAGCAATGCCATCTAACCGCAACGCAGCCTGACTGCACACAGGTCATAAATCACAATAATCAAAGCTGTTGTATATGTTGCAATAAATGTGACATGTTTATTTGATATGTTTAGTAGATCTTTACAGTGTATATTAATAACATTTTTAAATATAAAAATATGTACAATATTTTATTGGCTTGAAAATACAAGACAACTCTTGCAAAAGCTATAATATAATCAATCACAGATGTGTATTACACTTGAATGGCGCCCCCTAGTGTACTGTAGTTCAGCAGGCAGGCCAAAACAAAACTTGCAGAGCAAGGCCAAATCTCTTATCCTGTTTTCAGCAACCAACCTTTTTTGCTTCAATTTGTGTACAAACATCAGTGCCAATAATTTTGCTTTAAAAAAAATCATCTAATTTATTAGCTATAAGAAGCTGGCAGAAATATACATACACACACACACATACACACTTTGGGAGTTACGTTATTGAAGTGAGACAATAGAAGGTTAATCATTAAATTCACTGATGATTTACTAGGTGATTTATTTCAATGTTGGTACTTTTTGTTAATTTTTTTTTCATTTATAATTTTTTTCATCAGTTCACAACAAGTGAACACTCTCAGAATCCTTCACAAAACGAGCATTTCCGAGCATAAACAAAATGTATATAAAAACCTTTTTTAACCTTTCTGTGTTGATTTTGTTGTACTTGACCAGCAGGTTTTGATTTAAGGCTTGGAGGCAGTGTGTCAGACACACCTCCCTATGTTTTGGCCCAGAAAGTGGAGCATCAACACACTGTGTCACACACTCCAGAGAAGCAACTAGGTTTGCCTCCATGTGTCTGATATGACTGTGGGCTGAAAAAAAGCGTGACTGAAAGAAGAAAAAGAAAAGTTAATACCTGTATAATAACCATTTGTAAATACTTCTTGATGTTAAATTCTGATTTGCTAATGTATAAACCTTCAGGTCAATATATTCTGGGAAAACTGACAAACCTGAATACGGAGGAAGAGGATTATCAGCGGGCAGACAGCTAGACTAAAAACCGGCATGATGAAGCTGATTAGAGTGATGGTGCTCAATATGTCCAAAAGACTCTTCAACCAGCTGTGCAAATGTTTGGGCAGCTCTTCATCAATCACCTGCATATCCTAATCCAACATGAGATCACAATGTTTTTTTTTTTTTAAACGGATTAAGGAAGATCTATCTTGGTTTTCCATCATATTTGCTTACATCTGTTAGAAATAAATTATATTTTAAAAATATATTGAAATTAAAAACGGTTATTTTAAATTGTAATATTTCATAATATGACTGGTTTACTGTTTTGAGCATATGAGACTTCTTCATGAAAATGTTTTAGCAGACTAAGTGTTTACATGAGGTTATTCAACAGATTAATTACAATACATTATAAAACAATAAATATATATGTTATAAAATACAAATAAACAATACAAACTTACCTGTCACATCGCTGTTGGAAGCCATCAGATGGAAGCTCTTCTGTAACACATGACCGGGTAACACTTTACAGCAAAAAAACCCCACTTGTTTCTCCATGCATCAGTGAGTTGTCATATATGGTGACGTTACCTTTTGTAGTAACTAACTGAGTGGTGCCCAAATCCTTTCCAAGAAAGCTCTTCTCCAGATGGCAAAGAGACTGCTGTGCCTGCATAAAATATGCAGAGATTAATTAATTTGAACAAAAATATTAATAAAATACTAAGAAACTTTAGATTTAAGATCTTCAATAAAGTTTGTTTTGATGTTGTCACATGCGTGCTACCTGCTTGAGAACATAGAAGAGCCCAAGGAGCTCCAGCAGAGGTGGGCGGAGCAATCTGAAGAAACAGAGGGATGTAAAGATCTGAGACGGTGTGAGAACATTCCCATCATCCACCAGCACAAACACACCGATACTAGAGAAACCAACCTGCACAGAAAGATAAAGAGTATGGGAAATATGGGTCAGCTCATGCTCAGATATGTGACTGAACCATCCTAAAAGAACAGAAAAGACCTGGTATTTATGCAACATTTCCTTGATGAGTTGTTCACTCCTTTCCCTGATGATCAGCTGAGTTCTCTGAGGAACAACAAACAAAGATTATAAAACATATCAGCATCAGAACATTTACAGAAATACACTGAACGTGCTTCATCTCTTATTTTTCACATGCAAACTCCCAAGGAATTCTTCAGCAGACTGGCCTTACTAACCTGAAGCTGTTTGGCTTTGCGCTCTACTGCAGAGTTGACAGGGATGAGGACTAGTAGCAATGCCACCCCCACTAGAACACCTGGGCCCAATTCTCCCCACAGTAAGTCCAGACAGAGAGCGACTCTCAGGGGAGTGGACCAAAGACAAGCTAATGTGACCACTAGCTCTGTAACATTTTCAACCTCCCTTAATAAATCTGTCCCCTGAGTGGTGTTGGATTGCTGTCGAGAACTATGGGAAAAAGGCAATGTCTTAAATGTATGGGGGGGGGGAGTGGAATGGAATGGAGGGAACATGAACCATGGAATAAAGAAGATAATCCTTTCAGTATATAAAGAAATGGATATACTTTCAGTTTGACATGACAAAACACTTGTGAAAAAAAAAGTTGCAGACTTTGTTTGGACTGAAAGCATACTAACTGAGATAATGAGACAGTTAATAAGACCTTTACCTTCCTGTAGAGGAAGCCAGCTAGAACCGCTTGTGCATTGGCTGCAATTATCCTACTATGTTTCTCAAAGTGATGCTGAGAAACAGCACAGCAGCAAACTGCTCCCAACACCACCAGAGAATATGTGTATCCTGCCCAGTCAAACACAGCCTGTCTCTCACAGAACAGGATAACCCACCTGAGGTTAAAAAACATATACAAAAACAGATTAGAGAATTTCAGCAGCCAATACTCCAGTCTTCAACGTCACATGATCATTCAGAAATCATGCTAATATGCTGATTTTATCAATTATTATTGGTGCTTAAATGCTGAAATTATTTTTCTGGAAAGTGATATTCAAATAGAAAACTGTTGTTTTAAATTGTATTAATATTTGACAATATAACTGTTTTAACTGTATTTTTGAACAACTAAATCTAGCCTTGGCTTGAAATAAGAATCACAGTCATACCTGAGAGTCAAAGGAACTAAAATGCTAAAAATATCAGTTGACAGTCTCAGAAGCGCAACTTTGACTAAGGCTGGACGGAATGTCACCCATATTGCATAAAGGAGAGAGTAACCAGTATTGGCTTTTCTGGAGACCAGCAGTGACTCTCTTCCAGAATCCTCTCCGAAGTCCAACCTCTGTATGAATAAAATATTAACAATAAATCTCATTCAAAGCATGCTTTTCACAATTAAAACAAGTACAACAGAAGTGTTTGTCCCTGGCTATTGTTGTGGATCTTCAGTTACCTCATTGTAATTCTGTTGTTTTTCCCATTCGTGCTCAAACACAGAGGATAGGGTGTGGACAGACTCCTCATTATACAGCTTGCAAAGGTCAGACAACTGCAGCGGTCCCCTGTGGCCCATTACAACCACCCTGAAAACAGAAGAAAAAAAACTGTTAAAGCTTGCTGTGGTTGATAACATTAAAGAATACCTCCCCAGTTATAGGCTTAGGCTTACCTGTTTATCCAAAAGAGGTTCATATGGATAAGACTCCCTTTTGACTGTGAGCACAAATCAAACACAAATCTTAGTGCAGAGACAGTAGTCTTAGTCAATGGTGGGAGATAATATGCATTTATTAAATATCGCAGTGAATCAATAGCTTTATCAATTCAAAAACTATTAAACAGAACAATATTGTTTTGGAAATACCAAAGAAAAATAAATGTGTATTTCTGAAGGAAAACGGTTTCAAAACAAAAAATAATATCTTATTTAACTGTGAAATATAAATTCTTTGCTACAATATAATGTGAACTTCTCAACTGCTGGCGTCTTCTTGACAGTCTAAAAATAAGAGAAATTCAGTTCATGCAGTGTGAAAAAATATCAATAAAAGTTGTGCTTACCTCATTTCAGTAACGATGGCAGCGTCTAAAAACAATATAATGTCTTGCCGCGTGTAAATGACTGCATCTGCGTCTCATACAGCTGGAACAAAGGAACCTTACAGGAAAACAAATAAAGTAGCCTAAATTTCACGTCATTTACACTTGTCGACGATATTTAGGTTTAAATATCCTCTGACATGTTTTGGGATAATTAAAGGACGCTCTCTGTTGGGAATTAAACCGCGTCTGAAGCATAAACAGAGGAGCGTGCAGCGTGTGCAAATGTCCAATGAGAGCGGCGCTTTCGGTTGTGGGCGTGTTTCACTTTGCTGGGTAAACCTTTTCAGTCTTTTTCGACTGCATGTTTTCTCATTTAATATACTTTGTGTGTGTGTGTGTATGTATGTATGTATGTACCGGTATATATATATTCGTATACACACACACACACACTGTATATATATATATATATATATATATATATATGTGACCCTGGACCACAAAACCAGTCTTAAGTGTATATAAGTGAAATATATTTGAAAAGCTGAATATATAAGCTTTCCATTGATGTATGGTCTGTTAGGACAGGACAATATTTGGCTGAGATACAACTATTTAAAAATCTGCAATCTGAGGATGCAAAAAAATCTAAATACTGAGAAAATCGCCTTTAAATCTGTCCAAATTAAGTTCTTAGCGATGCATATGACTAATCAAAACTGAAGTTGTGATATATTTATGGTAGGAAATTTACAAAATATCTTCATGGAACATGATCTTTACTTAATATTCTAATGATTTTTGGCATAAAAGAAAAATCGATAATTTTGACCCATACAATGTATTTTTGGCTATTGCTACAAATATACCCGTGTGACTCATGACTGGTTTTGTGGTCCAGGGTCACAGGTTATATATACTGTATATCATTTTGTATTTTTCATTTTTGGGAAATATCTGTAAATATCTATTATGCAGCTTCTTCAGGGCACATCTATCTATCTGGCAAATTTTTTCAGGTTTAAAATAAATGTTCTAGTTCTAACTTAGAAAACTTAGAATATTAACTGGACTAATTATTTTATTCATTAATACAAGATATAAGAGGAAAAAATATTTAATTTAGGCCTCATATTCTGTATATTCAAATATATTATGCATCTGAACATGAAGAAAAAATCAGTTGTTCATAGAATGAGTAAACAAAAAGAGGATATAATGATGATATATGATAAGGCCTCATTCAAAGAAGAATGAGTAAACAAGTAATCGACTTTCAGGTTTAACATGAGCTCAGTTTTGTTGCTTAGAGACATGCCATGCAAAGTTCCATGTTGTGTGTGAAAATGGGCGGTAGTGGAAAAAGAGAACATGTTTAAATCACCTTAAATATCTCAGTGAAACTATATTTCATCAGTCCAGCAGAAAACAAAAACTCCTAACCATGTCTTTAGCTCTGTCTTCTCAGAGTGAGATGTCCCGGAACAAAATTGAACATGTAGTAAATGAAGAGAGTGACACAAAAGTCATACTCCAGTCAGGTTTGCCGGGCTTCTATTTCTTTCTCTTTTTTTTTTTATAATATATTTTATAATAATTATTTTGGGTTTAATAAGATGGGGATCAATCCAGAAGCTCTGGGTTCTGTGGATACCTCCTTACCTTCTTCTCCTTCCTCCTTGTCTTTCTTACTTTTCCTGTCTCGGTCTGGTTTTGTATGAAGGTAAGAAAAAAAATTACCTAATGTAAAACCTACTTAAAAATGGTTTATTATTATTATTATTATTATTATCAAACAATAAAATCTGACATAAACATTAAGGTCATCAAATTAAGTGAAAATCACTTATAACTTAATTATTTATATATATATATCAATCCTTAATCTATATTTCTTTTTGTCAAAAGATTGTCCAGGAATATGAAAGAGCAGTTATTTTCCGATTGGGACAACTCCTAGGCAGTGCTAAAGGACCTGGTAATTAATTACTATTCTTAAAATCATGAATAATTTGTTAAAAATGGTTTGCTTAGCTCAGTTGTAACTAGCAGTTCTTTTTATTGATTGCTTTTAAAGGTTTGTTCTGGATTATTCCATGTGTGGACACATTTAGGAAGGTTGATTTAAGAAAAGTGTCTTTTGACATCCCTCCACAAGAGGCGAGTGATTCATTTGAAAATGTGTAATCGTTGTTATTTTTTTCAATTAATACATATTACGAGTTTAATATCATATTGTGTTATAATGTAATATGTATCACATTTTCTCCTCAGGTGCTGACCAAAGACTCAGTGACTATCATGGTGGATGCGGTGGTCTACTATCGTGTCTTTAACCCCACTGTCTCTATTACCAAAGTGGAGAATGCTAATCATGCCACACAGATGCTTGCACAGACTACATTACGAAACATGCTGGGAACTAAGAGTCTGGCAGACATCTTAAAATACCGCGAGGAGGTGTCTGAACAGATGGAGGTAAGATAACCCTTCCTGAAAACAACTCTAAATCTTTCGTTTTTTTACCTCGTAAAAAATAAAACCTTCCTTAT